TTATAGAGTAGCAATGAAAATAATTTTATGGTTGGGGGTCACCACAACATGAGGAACTGTATTAAGGGGTCGCGGCATTAAGAAGGTTGAGAACCACTGCCCTAGAGTGTGGGACCCTGATAGAGAGGAGGAAGGGGCTTTGAATCCTAAGCCAGAGTCTGGGATGCCTCTCCTTTGGGTCACTAGCTCCACCAGCTCCACTCACTTTAGCTCTTCTGCCTCTCCAGGATATCTAAAATGGAAAGATTATGCTTGTCGTGAGAAGTTACCCTATATCTGCAAGTTCAAGGACTAGATGTGGTGATAGTCAGCAGCCAGAGTTTGGGATACAGCTCATCATGGAAACGGGACCAAGTGAGAAAACCCACCCAGCAAGGGGATATTCTCCTCACACCCTCAAACCTGATCTCTTCTTTCTGATTTGCCCATGTCCACAGCCTCATTTCAGGCTTTTTTTATTTCATTGCCCAAGTTCTCAAAGTGTAATAATACATATTTTACTCCATATATGTGTGCTTTTGTGTTTAGCTTCATAGCAAGACTCTGAGGAAGCAGTGAATATGAAAGAAAATCTACATCTTGCCTTTGTTCAGTTTCATTCAGGGCCCTGGAAAATGACTATACGTGCATCCCCACTTGTGTATTAGTGGGAAGTGTGTAGGCTCTGTTTGTGAAGGATTTGTGTTGTGTACAGAGAAAAAGAAACTGTCTGCTGAGCCCTCCTCCTGATGGTATTTCATGAGAGGCTTAGTGGGGTTGCTGTCAGGATCTGGTGTTATTATAACAGCTCTTCTGAAAGTATTTGCCTAAAGAACGAATTATTTTAATTAATTTACTGTCTACCTTGGACCAAGATATTTTTAAAAATAAAATACAGTAAGAAATTAATTACTTGGACTCTGAAGTGGTGAAATGTGGAACACTAGGAGTTGTCACTCTTCTTGAAAACAATAAAAAATTGAACAATTTGAAACCAACAAGTTTTCCTGGACTAATATAATCCTGAAACCTGCAGAGGCTCCAGGATGCATAGAGACACTCTCATTTCTGCTTAGCTAGAATAGGAGCTGTTAGAGTCATAATCTCTTAGGAACATTAAATGGTGATTCCAACAAATGCTGAATGCTGGGTGTGGATTTGCTTTAAGAGTGAGAAATTCCTGGAGGCTACAATTTTAGGAATGTCGCCATGCTTTCATGAGTTTTACTTCTGGAAACCCCACCAGCTTCTGGTGGTGAACAGAAAATAACCATTTGAAATATGTCCAGATAAAGACACCTCAGGAAAGAAAACTGCATGTCAATGTCTTCGATAAATACAGTTGCAGAAGCCCTCAACAAATGTTAGCAAACCAATTTAAGAGAACATTAAAAGTTCATACAGGGCCGGCCGAGTGGCGCGATGGTTAAGAACTGGCTTGGGATGCCAGAGGGCCTGGATTTGGATCCCACATATGAGGGCCAGTGACACTGCCCTCTACAGCTAAAATGCTGAACAACAGCTTGATCTGGGGCTGGGCTGCTGTGGGTCGCCGGCGACGGCATAGGCTGCAGTCCCCTGCTGCAGTAGACTGCCATAAGCTACCATGTGTAGCCAGCAG